GGCCCCTTAACTTTGCCGGCTCCGTCCAACTCCTGCCTGCAATTAGTATGACTGCTTTCACAGTCGTTTCTGGGAGAGGGCTATGTAGCAATTTAGCCACTTCCGCCGTGTGCATATCGCAATTGTGCAAAATTAAAACCTAAATTACTGCTTCATTGCATACTTTGGCGATGGGTGCGGAATGTTGCACTGCATATTTAGTTCAATTATTGTAATTGAGAAACGCTCGGTTGATTGCAACATGTGACCGCATAGTGTGCTGTGCATTTTCGTTCCGCCAGTTAACAACTTTCATCGATGTCGGTATTGGCATCTAGGACATTAGAGCATCTAGTAATATACAAAGTAAAATTTTGCTGCCTTCCATAAGTCTAATGGAGAAACACCTATCTTATTTCTTCCAATGTTCCTCTAGTTTCTGTGATATTTTATCGCCTAGTGCTTAGCAATGTGAGCAGCCTAAAGAACAAGGTACACTAGCTGGGTCCACTAATAGACGCATCTCGGCCTGACATATTTGCCTTCACTAAAACGTGGTTGTCTCCGGATATCACAGAGGGTGAAGTATGTTTACCTGGCTACGCACTGCTTAGACGTGATCGCTCCATTGGCTGCCAAGGTGGGGGCGTTGCTATTTAAGTGAGCTGTAAACTGGATGTGTTGAGGACCAGTGCTTTTAACTCGCCGGATCAAACTGTTAAAGCCCGGTCTACTATTGCGTGCGCTTCTTCTGCTCAGTTTAGAGTTATAGTGGTATATCGAAGTCTTGGAAGTATCTCCAAGAAGGATATTGAGTTTCTTCGTACTCAGGCTACCAATAGTTGTCTAAAACTGGGGGATTTCAACCTCCCTGAAGTATGTTGGGCTGATGTATCTTGCAGTTCGGCGGTTGGCATTTCCGGTTCGGATCTCCTCGAGCTAACGTTTCACCTGTCTTTGCATCATTTCGCACCCCTGCAGAGTAGATACAGGAGCAACTAGCTTCTTATTTTGCGAAGTTACACGAATTCGTCTACTAGGAACCAGTGATCATGTCATCTTTTCTTTCGATGTCCGCTCACTAAGCGTCATCAGGCCACCTCTGAGTCATGTCCAAATATCTGGCGGGCAGATTTGAACGCAATACAAGACAAAGATTCAGTTATGTCTTGCGAGATTATCGTGGCTGACACTGCTGAGACAGCTCGGGAGCAACTTAAGGTATACCTCACCGAGATCTCTGTTCCCCAAGTGTTAATCATTAAGCAAACGGAGACAGAGGCGCACCTTCCTTGGATAGCGTATACAGGTACATACCTGCTCAGGAAGTGCTCTAATTGCTGGAAAACTTTCCAAGAGACTTCATCAACCAGCACTTATGAAAGCTATCGAGCGGTTAGAAATAAAGGTAAGCAACATCTTGGGACTGCACCTCTACATTACGAGAAGGATTTGGCTAACGCAACCGCAACCAATCCAAAGAAATTTTTCGAATACTTAAAGAGAAGCAGCAGTACGAACTCGTCTATACCAGTTTTACTAAGAGCGGAAGGAAACCGTGTGCTTACCGACTATGATAAGGCTTGTATACTTAACGGACAGCATTCTGGTGTCTGTTCACCTCAGACCTCTCTTATTTAGCTTGAGCTGGTCACCAGAGTTCCGAAGTATTCTTACCTAACTGAAATTAACCAAACGGATATACATGTCCTCGGACTATTGCAAAGGCTAAATCCTTCCAAATATTCTGGTCCTGACTCAATTCATTCAAAGCTGATGAAGGAATTAGCCGATGAGCTAGGTGGCTCTCTTACGTGCGTCTTTTCAATGTCGCTCGACAACTGTGTCTTACCTTAAAAATAGTAAGAGGCAATCAGCTGCCCAAATTTTAAGGGCAGCGACAGAGCTCTACCCGCGAACTACCGGCCTGTCAGCTTAACAAACGTAGTGGTTAATCTGGTCTGGGATTGGGTGGAGTATAACCTTAATAAGTTTAAACACAGTGTAGTACAACACGGTTTCCGTAAGCGTTTTTCGTGTCTGACAAAGTTACTTGTGGATTGTAAGAGCTGGGCTGAGGCAGTAGAAAACCGTCACTCTATGGACATGCTTTTGGTTTACTTTTCGAAAGCCATTGATACTACCCACATCAACGACTCTCATTGAAGTTGAGATCGTATGGGATATCTTGAGGCACCCTTAAATGGGTCTCTGCTTTCCTAGAGGGAACAGTGTGTACGAGTCAGACATAGACTTTCGCTTAGAAGAGCTACTCTTAGTGGCGTTCCGCTGGGCTCGCTTCTAGGGCCGCTGCTTTTCGCAGTTTATATCAATGACCTAACCCAGGAGCTTGAAGTACCGTCGTGATTGTTTGCTGATGACCTCAAGATCCGGAATCTTGTGGATAACCCTGGGGGCTCTGAGGCAATGCAGAGTGCCTTGGATATGCTCTGGGGTTGATCAACCTTATAGTTGATGACTATAACTTAATCGAAATGTTTCGTTCTCCGAACTGCAGGTGGTAGGCTCCCACGCGCTATGTACCTGATGGAAGTAAAATCCCGGATGTCAGTCAGCAAGTTGATCTAGGCATCTTCCGCCACTCAATGCTTCACTCTGGGGACACTTGGATGAAGACTGCTTGTAGATGGTTCTGAATGACGTGGTTTATTCCCCGCTCCTTCGGTGTCTTAACGGCCGGTACTTTTGTGAAGCTGTTGTCAGCTTTCGTGCGACGCCACTTAGAATACTATATCCAGACTTGTCCACCATGTCTTGTAAGGAACAAAAAGGAACTGGAGAGGTTTTCGCTAGTGGGTACAAGAAAAGTACATGGTTTTACGGGGCAAGCGGATCGGGACCACTTTCTCAGGTTGCGTAGATACTCAATTATCTACCGGAGAATGTTTGGCGAGTAGCTTTAACAGTGAGCCCGGAGAGCGATTCGAAAAGGCAGATCGGGTTGCAGGGAAACTTTTAGTGGTACAGTTAAAGGTTCCATATTACCTAGCCACAGAAAACGACACCATTGACGATCTAGCTAGAGGAACGGAGGATTCACAGCACACAGGGAAGTCGTGAGTTGCAACCGAAACGAGCGCGAAGAAAAAAATGGCGATGAACAAGTCAGGCATTCGAACTCAGCAATCAATTCAACAAACCACACCGGGTACCTAGGTGTGCAATGAAATAATTTTAGTTAAATGTTTACACAGGCAAATCGGGAAATCTCCAGACTGCTGCAATCGAGAGAAGACTTGATCATCACTTACCGTATCTAACGGGTAAAATCGGTCTAGACTTATATTGACTAGTTAGACCCGCTAAGCTGCCCAGTCTCCGAGGCCACATGTGGAAGTTGCACAAACCGTGTTCTGACCGGAAACTCGCTTGCTGCGTAAAGTTTTCTAAAGTTGGAACTTGCTTCCGGAACAAGTCGTTTGGGATTTCCGGTAGAGGGTTCCGTGCGTCTGTTCGCTGCTCTTGGGTGGCAGTGTAGCGTTTTGGTCTAATTGTATCTATCCGAAAATCAGATGCAAATGGCCAACCAAAAGGTGCGGTAGAACCCACGGAAATAGACTAGAAAAATGTCTATTAGAAGGTTGCTAAATATTAAGATCAAAAATAGGACACCTGAATATGACTAGCTAGGGAGGATGAGGTAAGATGCTGAGTGTGCTCGAAAAACCGACGTTATTTCCGAATCCCGCGGACAAAGTCCAGAAATTGTCAGTGTGTCTCATCCAATCACTTGCACAACACAAACATGCAGCTCAGTTATTGCCCTCATACATGAGAAAACTATGGTTGCATAGTATTTAGGATTGATTTACACATCAAACGGGGGGGATTTGCAGGTCAATACAGAATTACCAAACTACTCCTTCACTTAAACGATTGGAGCTTCAACTTTCTGTTCGTTCTGTCCTTTATCTTCCCTTAACTGATATTTTCTTGCATTTCTCTTGTTTTCTTAGCTTACGCTTCATTGTTTCTTACATCACGTAAACTGTCCTGGTAGGGATTACTGGACAGGAAAGGTGGGCAATAATTGGTGGGACAGGGTGAAATGCGGTCTTTGGTTTAGGCTTTTTAAGATCTCAAACAGACCTATCAATTGCCGAATCAATGAGAGGCCAAAAAGAACATTCACAGGCTAAAATATCGTTACGGTCCCAACTGAACTTGAACTTGATAAATGCGTGTTGCTGCAGTAACTGACATGCGGCGATTATCGGCTTGATATCATACACAATGGGGTAATTATTTTATTAGAGCAGTGCCAAACAAACTCAAGAAAACAGAAAAATTTCTAGAATGTTAATACACTATGTCGATGGTCCAAGCTTTACTTAAAAACAGATTCTTGCTCATGACTTCGTGCCAAATGTTAAAAGGAACCGATATGTATCACGTTATTAATCGAAAAATTGGTTTTAGCGTTCAGTTAGAAATACTATGGTTGCTGTCCTTTGAACAAACAATAGCATTGATTATGCGTTTCGGTGTGACCTTGGGAACGTGTCCTTGTAAGCATCCTGTTTTTGATTCTTCGTGTGGCTTCAGTTGGGTAACCCACTAACTAACAGACTGGCGGAAAAGATTTTGAAGCAGCACTTCTCAGGATCAGCTGAGCATTCATTGATGGTTTGCAACAAGATTGTTGTGCTGATCAAAGTGAAATTAAGAAAAAGAAAACACCTTACCTAGAAATAAGATCTAAATAATGATATACCAAAATTAAATTTAACATTGATGGATTAGTGTAATGGAAATCCTTACTTTATAAATTCTCGTTTTTGTGTACGCAATAAGCAATTTTTATATTGATGTCCTTTTGTGTAAAATTTTTTTAACTAAATTAGTAACACTGAAATTATTTGGGATAAATGCTACAAATAAATTAAAATTGATAAAACTATATAATTAATATCAATGACATAAACACGGTGATATACAGGCATTTACTAGTCTTATTTATTTTTCATTACTCAATGGCTCAGTAGCATCGGACAATAACTGCTGTACCAAGCCACACGGTATAGGTTCAGTATATTTAGTCCGTTTGGTTCGTTCTTTGGGGTCCCGATGAATGTTTGCGCGGAAGAAGTTACTTTCCACAAAATTATCAACAAACTTAAGATATCTGATGATCCACTATCTCTGCTAAAGAAGCTTAGTGGCAATGGATTAAATATTGCGGCACTCAGCCACCATTCGGAGTTTTCTTCAATGATAATCGAAGTTGTTTGCAATCACTTCGGAATGGGACTTAAAATAATGATGGATGCAGGAGTCGACCTTGCTTGTCAGGTATACTTTTGAGCTGCTTACCAAACTAACTATGCATTACATACTTAAAAAACTACAGTTTCTTGATTATTTAGTGCACAGATTGCTTAAAACTTTAGGTTAAACATAATTTAACTGCTGCAGTAGCATGCCGAATTTGTGGATTTCTGGAACGCTTTGATACTTTTACCGCGCCTGTCCGGAAGGACACTATGTGTAACTCACTGACCTAAAATGAGTAATTTATACATCGCTTAAGAATGCGACCTTATAATCCTGATTGATATTCCATGCCTTTAGCGACATTTTGAATTTTTTTGTCCACTGGATGATGTTTAGAAAACCGTGTTATGGCTAGTTTGGCGTCAATTTAACTTTAGTTTTTAATGGTAAAGCACGCTAACACAAATTAGTTTTTGTTTTAGTAGCGTTGACTCTTCTTGCTAACTCATAAAGCAGTGCCTCCAAAAGTGGGTAATCTTGTACACCAATTATTTATCGTGGTTACATATAACTCAATATCGAAGTTCATTTGGGGCAAGCAGTTATGGAATTTGTGTTTCTACAGTGTTTTATCCTCAGACATGAGACTTGATCTATGTATACGTTTATTCTCGTCTATGCAAGGCACACCTTTACATGCATGATCATGGTAAGATAACATGGGGTGATCAACAATGTACACTTTAGAGGGTTGCCTATTCCGGGAGCCCAGAGAGCGATTCCAGAAGACAGATCGAGTTGCAGGGAAACTTTTATTGGTTCAGCAAAAGATTCCCTGTTAGCTAGCTATAAAAGAACGACACCGTGGACGCTCTAGCTAGGGGAAACGGAGCAAACACAGCACACAGAGCAGTCGCGCGTTGCAACCGAAGCGAGCGCCAAGCAAAAATGGCGATGAGCAAGTAAAGCATTCGAACTCAGCAATCAGTTCAACAAACCACACCGGTTGCCTAAGTGTACAATTATAGAATTTTGGTTAGAATTTTACACAAGCAAACCGGGGAATCTCCAGACTGCTACATAGCCCTCTCCCAGAAGGGACTGTGTAAGCAGTCCTTCGATCTACGTGAGGACTGTCCGTCGCGGGCCAGCCTTCTGCGAGACCAGGTTGTGAAACCCGATGCAGCTGCTGGGGGAGAACCATGCAATCGGACCCTAGCGGGCTCCCACCCGTGTCCTCCCTACGGTGTCGAAACGGTAAAAAAACTGTTTGTGGGGGGGACAGTTAGTAAAGTTCACGTGTGCGGTTGAGCAGGAAGTTCGTTCCACTTGCAGTTGACGTGCGGGGATCCAGCGAAAGTGAAACCGAGGTGCAACCAACCGACGGTGTATATGGAAAGCAAATGAAAAAGCAGCATAAATGCATAGCAATACACAAAAGAGTGCAAAGCGAAAAACGTGCAAAGCTGTTTTTGGGTTTTCAAAAGTTTTGCTCTTTTTTGGTAGTTTCAAAACGTTTTGGTCTTTTTTTGTGGATTTTCAAAAACGTTTAGTAAGAGCAGAAAATTTCTAAGGCACGTTCTACGTAAAATAGTAAGTGCTGACAAAGTCTGAAAAACGAACTGGAGGCTTGAGTTTCCTACCGCGTCGATTGAGAGTAGGGCGGGTAGGAGTGCTGTCGGTTGTGTTTGTCGGTTCTGCTGGAGCGGGCTGACTCGTCTGCGTTTGCGGTGCCGGCTGTGATGGCACGGGCTGTGAAGGTGCTTGTTGCACCGGCGAGTCAGACTTGTCGAGGAATGCTGGCTTGAGTCGATCGACGTTGATCGTTTCAGCCTTACCATTGTAGTCAACGGTAAACGTCTTGTCGCTTCTGCGTACAACACGGTACGGACCAGAATAAGGAGGTTGAAGTGGTCGGCGTACGCTGTCAGTGCGAACGAACACGTGCGTGCAAGTAGTTAAGCGTTCGTCCACGTTGGTACGCAAGCTCTGTGCTCTGGGTTGCACAGGCTGAAGCTGTCGCATGTGATGAGATAGGCGAGCTGCGTAGTCGCCATAGTCGAAAGTTGTTGGCGCTTTTGGTGAGACGAGTTCACCAGGTAAGCGTTGTGTGCATCCAAAGACTAGCGACGATGGAGTGGCTTGCAAATCCGCTTTAATCGTGTTTCTTATGCCTAAGAGAACGAGCGGAAGTGCTTCGTGCCAGGATGTGCTAGATTGGGCACAGAGTGAGGCTTTGAGTTGCCGGTGGAACCTTTCTACCATCCCATTAGCTGCAGGATGGTATGCGGTGGTTCGATTATGTTGGCAACCAAGAACGTCGAGCAGTTTGCTGAAGGATCCGTCGAAGTGTGATCCTCTGTCGGTGATGACTACGCTTGGGCAACCGAATTGAGCTACCCAGCGTTCTAAGAAAGCTTGCGCAACTGTCTCAGATGAGCAGTTGACTAACGGAATCGCCTCTGGCCAACGAGTGAATCGGTCGACACAGGTGAGTAGGTACACGTAGCCTTTGCATGGAGGCAAAGGTCCGACCAGGTCGACATGGACGTGTGCAAAACGAGCGTCAGGAGCGGGAAAGACGCCAAGTGGGCTTTTGGTGTGTCTGTAGACCTTGGCGCGCTGACACTCTAAGCATGCGCGTGCCCAAAGGCGGACATCGCGATTGACGTTGGGCCATATGAAGCGTTCCGTTACGAGCTTCTGCGAAGCACGTATGCCGGGATGAGACAGGTTGTGTAAAGCATTGAAAACTAGTCGACGCATTGAGGTAGGAACTACGGGTCGGGGAGAAGTTTGTGAGACGTCACAAAGAATGGTCCCCTCAGATGAAGCTAGTGGGACTTCACGTAGTTTTAACGAGGTGTTGCGTCGTAGCTTGTCGATGTCGGGATCAGCTTGTTGGGCAGCAGCCATAGCGGCTAGATCAATGTTGGTGCCAGGCGATAAGCTGATCTGCTGAATGCGTGAAAGCGCATCCGCGACGGGATTGAGAGCACCTGAGACATGACGTACGTCTGTCGTAAACTGAGAAACGTAGTCTAGGTGTCTAGTTTCCCGCGGAGAATACTTGTCTGTTGCGCCATTGATTGCGTAGATCAATGGCTTGTGGTCGGTGAAGACTGTAAAATTTCGACCTTCGAGATAATGACGGAAATGTCGGATACCTAGGTAGATAGCTAACAGTTCCCTACCGAAGGTGCTGTATCGCGATTCGGCAGGTTGTAAGCGCTTTGAGAAGAAACCTAGAGGTATCCATCGATGGTCGATGAGTTGCTGAAGAACTGCACCGACGGCAGTGTCTGATGCGTCAGTTGTCAGGGAGAGTGGTGCAGATGTGTCTGGATGGGCGAGAAGCGCTATGTTGGAGATAGCGTCTTTGAGCTTCTCGAAAGACAATTTAGCGTCGTCTGTAAAGTGAAAAGACCGTTGTTTACCGCGGAGCAAGTCAGTCATTGGTTGAACAATGCTCGCGCAGTTAGGAATAAAGCGTCTATAATAGTTGACCAGGCCAAGGAATCGGCGTAACTGCTTGAAGGAACTGGGAGCAGGATAGTCCTTCAGTGCCTGGATTTTGTCTGGCAGAGCTTCAATACCAGAGGCGGATATGCGGTGGCCAAGAAAGTCGATGGAACTTTGGCCAAGCTCGCATTTATCGGGGTTGACGGTAACCCCATGCTGTGTTAAGCGTTGGAAGAGAGCGTCGAGGTGATGAAGATGTTCTTCGTCAGAAGAGCTCGCGATAAGAATGTCATCTAGATAAGGATAAACGCCTTCGAGTCCTCGCGTTACCTCATGAATGAAACGCTGAAAAGTTTGGGCAGCGTTGCTGAGGCCGAAAGGCATTCTGAGGTACTCGAATAGGCCGAATGGCGTGATGACTGCTGTTTTAGCAATGTCATCTGGCGCCACAGGTATCTGATGGTAGGCGCGAACTAAGTCGACTTTGCTGAAGATAGACTTGCCAGCTAGAGCTGAGGTCAAGTCGTGCATGTGCGGAATAGGGTATTTATCCGGGACGGTAACTTTGTTAAGTGCCCTGTAGTCACCACAAGGGCGCCAGTCACCGGATTTCTTCGGCACCATGTGTAATGGTGATGCCCATGGACTTTTGGACGGGCGGATGATTCCCAGTTCGAGCATTTGCTCGAATTCCGCCTTAGCAGCTTTGAGCTTGTCCGGGGCTAATCGGCGAGGGCGGGCCGAAACAGGTGGGCCCTTAGTGCAAATGTAATGCATGACGTTCGACGTCACAGGAGGCAAGTCGTTCAGGACGCGAACGAGTTTAGGGTGCTTGCTGAAAAGTTCTAGAAAAGGCTGTGAAGCTTGAGGTAGGACACGAATGGGAGTGATAGCAGCCACGTTGGCGCTAGTCCCGATAACACTGAGCTGTGTCCTAGAGTCGATAAGCTTCTTCCTTTTAGCGTCGACGATGAGGTCGAAGCGTTGAAGAAAGTCTATGCCTATGATGGCGAAAGGCACAGCAGCGATTATGAAAGGCCAGCGAAAGGTTCGCCGGAGGCCTAAGTTGAGCGTTAGCAGCTTTTCGCCGAAAGTTGCGATTGGTGTGCCATTGGCGGCACGCAGCTTGGTCGGCGATGGTGAGACGACCTCATCTGAGCTACGGGGTATAACGCTAACTTCGGCACCAGTGTCGACTAGAAACTCGGTGCCGGAAGTTAAATCCCTAACGCGGATGAGGCGACTTTGGTGTTGGCCAGTCGCGTCCGTCGCCGTTACGGACCGGCCGCGAAGTTTTCCCTGCTTCTCGGCGAAGTTGCAAGGCTTTACACATTTACGAGCTGCGGTACCAAAGCGCTGATGATACCAACAGCTAGCTTGCCTGTTGCTAGACTGAGAACGTTTGAAGGGCGATTTTGAGCGGCTAGGACGACGACGGGTCATAGTAAGCTGTTGCACCTGGCGACTAAGTGTCGCAACTTGTGCTTGCAGGGCTTCTATAGTTGACTGTAAGCCAGTGATAGAAGTGCCCTGGGACGCGACGGCATTGATCTTGCTGGCGTCGGCTTGTGGCTGTGATCGTTCAATAACTCGATCCGCTAAGTCTGCTAGTTGAG